CTCGAAGCACGAGATGCGCAAGTGAAGCCGAGGGAGGTGCGGGCAAGACGGGTCTGCCCACAGGCCCTTGTTTCGCGGGCCGAGCCTGAAGACAAACTCGTGCAGTTGTCCTGAACCGTCTCGAGAAGATGGCCCCTTGAGCCAGAATTGCTTGAACCAAAATGGCTACGGAAGGCCTCTGGCGGCCATTGTCATGCGTTGGGGCTGTCTTGGGTCGTCTGGGGGCTGCCCTGGGCCGTCTCGGCGCCCTCGTGGGAACCTGTTTGGACGATATTGGGATATCTCGGACTGCCTTGGAGCGTCGGGAAACTGAACTGGCATAGTCGTTACAATGTACCAACAATCTGAGAAAACTCGAATAGTTGGGTTTCTTGGGGCCCTTGTGGGAGTGTTCTTCACAACCCTTTGTGATGTGTTGGAAGCCATGTGGGCAATCCGAAGGCCATCTGGGGTGCGTTCGAACGATACTTCGGCGACTGTAACCTTTTTTGGAAGCCTCTCGCGGCCCTTTTCCATTGTGTAAGGGCTGTCTGGGGCCGTCTCGGCGCCCTCGTCGGAACCCGTTGGGGATGGTTTCTGGGTGTCTTGGACCGTCTTGGAGCGTCGGGAAGCTGAACAGGAAGAAGCGCTAAAATACACTAACAACCAAAAGAAAAGCAAAACATTCGGTTTCTTTGGAATTTTTTGGAGGGAATTCTTGGGTACCCTTCGAGCCGTCTTGGCAGCCTTGTGGGCCATCTGAAGCCATCTTGGGCGTGGTCGGTCCCTGGGTCGTCTCGGCGCCCTCGTGGGGGCCTGTTTGGGTGATTTCTGGGTGCCCTGGACCGTGTTCGAGCGTCGGGAAGCTGAACAGGCAGAATCGCTGAAATGTGCAAACGAATCAATGATTTTGGCTTCTTGGGGCCCTTGTGGGGGTGTTTTTGGGGACCCCTCGGGCCGTGTTGGAAGGAAGCTTTGTGGGCCATCTGGAAGCCATCTTGGGCGAGTTAGAACGATAGTTCCACGACAGCGGGCTTCTTGGAGGCCTCTCCCGGCCCTTTTCATATGTGTTTGGGCTGTCTTGTGCTGTCAGGAAGCGTCCCTCGCGACCCGGTCCTTCCCTGGCGCGTCGGGGGCCCCCTCCCGGCCCCCCCCGCCACGTGCCCAGGGATATATGTAGATGTGTCTATATATCTATACAGATGTATAGATGTATAGATGTATATATATATATATATACACATATACACATACATACATACAGGCATACATACATAACACATAACTGCATACATACACACATACATACATACATACAGAAATAAATAACTACATACATACATACATACATACATACATCCATACATACATACATACATACATACATACATACATATGATTATGCATGGTTTATAGAAGTATGTGTGTAACTATATATATATAACTATATATATATATACGTACCATGTATGTGTTGAATGGATGACCGTCGCCGAAGTAAGCTGTTCCACGGTTCGGTGTACGACCGGGTTGGGACTGCTATGGCGCGCGGTCGTGTGTGAGTTTCGAGGTCAGAGCTACTGGTGCCTGTGAGGAAGCATATTGTGGCCTCTTCGGTCCGTTTGTGGGCTGTGGGGAGCCTCTTTGGGGCCTCTTGGGGGCCTGCTGGCGATCTCGGGGGCCCCTTGGGGGCGGAGAGCTCGAAATCTCGCTTCGAGTTCCCCGTAATGGGCCCCTCCTGGGGGCCGTCTGAAGGCCCTCTTGGGCCGCGTCCGCGGTCGGCCACCTATCCACACCCTCTCGTCATCGTGTGGCTCGTCGGCAGTGCTAAGTCCGGCGACGGGTGAGGTTGTCCTGTACCTGGTCCACACCGTCGGGGGGTCCTGGCTCTTCAGGTGGAGCCAGGCCCACCGCGGCGCTCCTCCTCCTCCTCCCCCTCCTCCTCCTCCTCCTTCTTCCTCTAGCTCCCTATCCTCCTCCTCCTCCGCCTCATCTCCTCCTCCTCTTCCTCCTCCTGCTCCTCCTTCTGCTCCTCCTCCTCCTCCTCCCCCGCCTCTTCCCTTCATGTCTCGCTGCTCCTCCTCCTCCTCCTCCTCCACACCCTCCTCCTCCTCCCTCCTCCTCCTCCCTCCTCCTCCTCCTCCTCCTCCTCCTCCTCCCTCTCCTCCTCCTCCTCCTCCTCCTCCTCCTCCTCCTCCTCGACCACGGAGGCCCCCGCCCACTCAGAAAGGGCACTCCTTTGCGCCGAGACCGTGCGGAACACGCCCCTGCCCAGCCGCTGTGCCGAGCTGGCTCGGTGAGCCTCTGTGAAGGGGCCCCAGGACACACGAATAAATACAACCAGTGAAACATATTTCCCATATTTTCATGGTTTCTGTCTTCCCCCCCACTTCCCATGTTTTCCCATATTTTCTAGGGAATCGACGATTAATTGTGTCTGTGTGTTTCTTCCCCTCCTCACTCTGGGCACTCGCTCTCGGCCGCTTCCGGCCCTCCCGAGTCCCAAGCCGTCGCCCAGAGGCCGGCGCACTTTGTAAGTCCGCGGGCGCCAAGCGGTCCAAGACGGCCAAAGGCCGGTCAACGCGAGCGGTGGGATGCACCGGAGGCAAATCAAGGCTCGGAGGCGAAAAAGAAAACGCGAGAAGAGAAACGACCAGGCCCCATCAGACCGTGTGAGAGAGGCGGACAAACGGGCAACGGCGACTTGGAGGCGTCTAAGGGGTCTGAACTGGATGGGGCCCCAGATAATCGATCAAAAGAGGAGTACGAGGCCAAATCCGTTCAAAATCGGTTCACAGCCCCTTCCTGTGGTCCCCAGTAACTGGCGCAGCGCCGGGCCACCTGACACCCCCCTGCGGGCTCCAATCAGCAACCGCCCCCCGAGATCGCACGTTGCTGGGAGTGCCCCGGGCCAGCCCGAGGCGCCCCGAGGACTTCCAAGCAGGCCCCCGCGGCCTCCAGAGCACCTCTCGCGAGGCCCGGGGGGGCCCCAGGGGCTCCACAATGGAACGACAAGCCGGGGGCACCCTGGGCCAGGGGCACCTTGAGCAACCACTGGGGTTCCCCCAGGCGAGGCCCTCGTCCCGCTCAGCCGTGCGCGCCCCGCCCCGCCCCCCCCCCCCGAGGAGCACGCGCGCAGCTTCTTCCCCCTCGTGCGCCGGAGATGGCGGGAGATGCCCGCCGTTGACCATTGACCAGCGGAGGGGCGGAGGCGCAGGAGCTGAGGAGAAGGAGAAGGCGGAGGAGGAGAAGGAGGAGGAAGACGGCAAGGAGGGGGAGAGAGGACGATGAGGGGAGGAGGAGGAGGAGGAGGAGGGAAGGAGGAGGAGGAGGAGGAGGAGGAGGGAGGAGGAGAAGGAGGAGGAGGAGGAGGAGAAGAGAGGAGAGAAGGAGGAGAAGGAGGAGGAGCAAAATGAGGGGAGGAGGACGAGGAGGAGGGAGGAGGAGGGAGGAGGAGGCGGAGGAGGAGGAGGGGGGGGAGGAGGAGGAGGAGGAGGAGGAGGAGGAGGAGGAGGAGGGAGGAGGAGGAGGAAGAGGAAAGAGGAAGAGAAGGAGGAGAAGGAGGAGGAGGAGGAGGAGGAGGAGCGCCCGTGGCTCTGCAGGTGCGCAGCTCTCGCCGAGGTCGGCGAGGCCTCTGGGACTGGGGCGGGCCGCGGCGTCCCAAAGGTGGCTCGCGAGCGCGTGGAAGCCACGGTCGGGACGCTGGCTGCGCCGGGCTGGGCGCTCCGGGCCCGCGGCGCGGAGCGGGAGGGGGAGGGGGAGGGGGAGGAGGAGAGGAGGAGGAGGAGGAGGAGAGGGAGGAGGGGAGGAGGAGGAGGAGGAGGAGGAGGAGGAGGAGGAGGAGGAGGAGGAGAAAAAAGAGGAGGAGGAGGAGGAGGCGGGAGAGGAAGCGGCGGAGGAGGGGAGGACGAGACAGGAGAACAGGAGGAGGACGAGGAGGAGGACAGGGCGGAGGAGGAGGAGGAGGAGGAGGAGGAGGAGGAGCAGGACGAGAGTAAGGCGGAGGCGGAGGAGGCGGAGGTAGCGGCGAACATATCCGAAATGGGGCTCGCGAGGGTTTCGGAAACATCGAGACTGTGTTTTTTCATATGTTTTTGTCTCTCGGGGCCCTAGCTGGGCCTCGGGACCGTCAAACCTCGACTCGGGATGAAAAACTGGTCCCGGGGAGGTGGTCGAACGGTCGGGGTCCGTGTCTCGAAAAAGTCGAGACTCTGGACGACTGGACTCGCCACAAGGCTCACGAGCGGCGACCACATCCGTATCCGCGCCTAGGCAGTCTGGATTCCGAGGCGCGATCCCGCGGATGCGCGGTCGCATGGGCACGCTCCGCGCAGGGAATCCGCGAAAAACTCCCCGCATCCGCGGGGTCGCGGCCCAGGGGCCTGGCCCGCTAGGCCGCAGATGCGGATACGATTGTCGCCCACGAGCCGCCCAGAGGTGGCACCACCAACAAAAGGGCCTTCGCAGAAGCCCGCCCGGCTTCAAACAAGGCAGCAGGGGCCTTCGCAGAAACCCCTCCGTCTTCTTGGTGAGCCGCCCCCATCGCGCCGCTCCCTTGTGGGCGCCACCCAGAGATTGGGCAAGGAGTGCTCCCGCCTCTTCTCGCTGCGCAATAGCCACGACAAAGGATTTGTCTTGCCGCCTTCGGCCTCCGGGGGCCCCCGCCTAGCCCCAGGACGGTCAAGCCTCGGCTCAGGATGAAAAGCCGGTCCCGGGAAAGCGGTCTGGATCTCCAGAGGCATTCGTCCCCGAGGAAGGCGCGACGTCGGAGCTTCGGGTCGATGGGGATGGGGCAAACACGGAGAAAGTCGGCACCACCACCACGATACCCCAACGCAGCTTGCAGTGCGCCCACTGGCAGACAGCGTTCAGCCATGAAAGAGTAGAGCCACACAGTGACGTTGAGCACTCGAAACACACATCCTCTTCGAACGCCGGCTTTCTGGCAAGAGGATCTGCCGGATCTCCCACACTCTTGTCCCGAGTGTTCCCATGCATCTGGCACCAACTAGGCACAGGACTGTGCTTCTTGTCGTCGTTGGATTCTTGGCGCGACGAGGTGAGAAGAGCTGTGCGATACGCGGCAGCATATTGTGATGAGCGGGCTAGATCGTGAGATTAAAGCTGCAGCTCAACGAGGCATAAAAAAAGAAAGGTGCCCCCACAGGATGCACGCACGCAGTCAGAGTGAGCGACGGAGCATGAGCAGGATTAGGAGCAAGACTATTCAGAAACAACGACGTCATGAATCTGTCTCCAGAACACAACATGTGCAACCAAAGGATGGTGCTCAATCGCCTCATCCACCACCATGCTACTTCGTCCACATCTTTCTTAGCCGAGCTATGGGGCGCCACGCCAGCAGAGTCATCCGTCCACCTCGTCCTGCTACTCTATCCGCCTCCCTCTCCCTTGCTTCTCCATCCGCACGCTCCTCCTCCTCCTCCTCCTCTTCCTCCTCCTCCACGTGATCCTCCTCCTCTTCCTCCCGCTCCTCCTGACATGGATCTTGGCCCCCAACGGCTCCGGCATCACCACCTGCTCCTCCTCCGCCTCATCCTCCTCCGCCTCCTCATCCGAAGAAATGTCCTCCCCCTGCTACTTCATCCACCTCCCACTCGTCTCCCCCGTCCTACTTTTCCCCCGTCCTCCTCCCTCCTGCCCGAGTTGCCCTGCGGGCAGCGTGACTGATTGCCCGAGCCTCGCCCAAAGGATTCCTTCTATCCTTTGCGAAAGAGAGCTGATGGTCAGATGTCTCTTCATGGCTGGATACCTGGCGCGGGCCCAGTGACCCGCGCAAACCGCTGCGCTTTGCGTGGCTTTGGTTTGCTTGACCTGTCTCGCATTGTTTCACCGGGCCATATGCTGACTTAAATTGCGTTGCAATTCTTCGCTTCGACGTGCGTTTCATTGATTTGCTCCTCGTTGCGCTCCTTCTCGCTGCCTTGACTTGCATTGCACGTTCGCTGCTTTGAATTGCGTCGCGTTGGGTGGAACTATGAACCTGCATCGTTCTGCCTGACTTTGCATTGGTTTGCTCTGGTGTTCGTTGGATTGCTTTGCACTGAGCTGTTGCCGGGCAGTTGGTTTGCATTGCGTCGATTGTTGTCCGCGTTACATTGCGTTTGCGTGTCTTTGTGCTGAAGAGTATCGCGCTGCCATTGCAGCACGCTGCCACAAAAAAACAGCACAAACAATGCAACTGCAAATCAAAACAAACCTAGCCTGGTTACAGTGTGATGTCCTGCGTCAAACAAGCAAACAGATCAACTGGAAGGAGTGGGCAACAATGCCAAGGAAGGCAGCGAACCGAGAAGCAATGTCAGTCAGAGCGAGCACAGCAAATTATATCAACGAAACAACGTATCAGCGCAATAGAATCGCATTGCGATGCACTGCTCTGCAAAACTAAGTCAAGCAACGCAACACTGAACCGCGCAAAACAACATGCTACAGTGTGACGGCGTGTTCAATGAATACCCCTGAAAGTGGACGCGCTGGGGCCACTCGGCAGGCAACTGCCTCCCACGCGCATGGTGCTCCCGCAATCCCATCAGCTCAACCTCGCCATCAGATACGGCACACCGGAAGCGTTGACACGCTTAGCTGATTCTAATTTTGCCGCGATCACGCTTGTCGCCAACACGCCCTATTGACTGAGCTCCGAAGGCGCCTCCAGCGCCAGGGACATAGGAGTCTTCGTCGAGGGGACCGGTGGCCGTCTCTGCAGCACTTCAGACCCGCAACTGCGTACTTCACCGACGTGTGTCACTGCTGAATGGGCATTTTCAAAATCTGCCGCTGACGTACTCGATTCACCAATTCAGAATAAAGCATGCGCCCCTGTCGGTCCAACTCCCCCTCTCCCTCTGCCCCTTCCATTCCCGTTCCCCAGCCGCCTCCTCCCACTCCGGCTTCCTCTGATGTTTGCCTTCTCCCCCTCCCTTTGTCTTTGACTGTGCCCCCCCACTTCCCTCTCTCTCCCTCTCTCTCTGAGTCTCTCCCTCCCTCCTCCCTCCCTCCCTCCCTCCCTCCCTCCCCCCCCTCCCTCCCCTCCACCGCTCCCTGCATCGCTATCTCGCCCTCTCTCTCTCTCTGGTGTTTGTTTTGTTTTGTTTCTCTCTCTCTCTCTCTCTTTGTTGTTCTCTCTCTCTCTCTCTCTCCCCCCTCCTCTCTCTCTCTCTCTCTCTCTCTCTCTCTCTCTCTTCCTTCTCTCCCAACCCCGCCCCCCCGACCCTTCCGTCCCCCGTCCGCCCCCCTCCTCCCCCCTCCCCTCCCGTCGCCTCCGCGTGCCCCCCCCCCCCCCCGGCGCGCTGAGCCCAGGACTGCCCAGGTCGGCTTGCAGCGCGACCGCGGCCGGGACCAGCAGCAGCGCCAGGAGGGTCGCGGGCGGGGCCATGGAGACGGCGACCGGACGAGCACGCCCGAAACGGGTTCGGAAAGAGTGGCAGGAGAGCCCAAAATCGAATCGACAAGTCGGATCGGAAGTCGACATGAGTCGGATCGGCGGAAATCGGCAGCCGAGTCGGGAAAAGTCGAATCGGCAGAAATCGGCAGGCTAGCATGCCTCCAACAAGAAACAGGAACCCAAATCGGAATCCCAAGTCGAATCGAATCGGAATCGGAAGCCATCGAAATCGAATCAAATCGAATCGGAGGAGTCGAAACGAGCCCTGGAATGGGCACAATGCCCAACAACAAATGTTGTCCCAAACCAACAGCGGCCGCTGTTGGGCCGGCGGCCTCCTGTCTCGAGTGGACACAGGCCGCGGCGGCGCGGACAGCGAGTCCTGTTCAGAATGAACGAGAACTGCTGTTGGGCATCGTGCCCATTCTTTCCGTGCCCGTTTCGGGCGTCCAAAAAAAGGAAGGGTGTCGCGGATCGGCCCCGAGCCCGGCAACACTGGGACGCCAAGGACGCCCCGGTCGGGAGCTTCTGCGCAGCGTGCCGAAGGGGGATGCACTGCGGTCAGTGGGAATACACTGCCCAAGGAAAGTGATGCAACTTTGGTCGTCGACTCGTTCTCAACCATCCTGTAGTGGTGGGTCCTCGATTTGAAGAGACATCGCCGCGCATCACCTTCTCTCCTCTCCTTTCCTCCCCTCTTCCCACCCCTGCCCCTGCTGTACGCATGCCTGTGTCGGGGCGCACCTCACTTGCTTCGTAGCGACATAAGGAGCTTCAACTAAGGCCCACATGCTTGCTGCCTCATTTCGGCACGCTCCTCACACGCTTCGTGGCTCCATAGGCAACTCCAACTAAGGCCCACATGCAAGGGTCCGCAAGGCGGCGCGGCTTCAATTCGGCACACACTTCGTGGGCCTCATGGGAAGCTCCACACGAGGCTGCTAGGGTCCGCATGGTGACACCGCCTGATTCCGGCACACCCCTTACACGCTCTGTAGCCTCACAGGGAGCTGCAAGTAAGGTCAAAATTGTAGGCTCCGCATCGCGCTGCCGCCTGATTTCAGCACAACCCTTACACGTTTCTTACCCCCATGGGGAGCTCCAACTATGCAAAGCCCAAATGACAGGTTCCGCATGCTGGCGCCGCCTCATTTCGACACACCCCTAACACGATTCGTGGCTCCATGGGGAGCCCCAACTAAGGCCCAAATATAAGGGTCAGCATGGCGACGCCGCCTTATTCCGGAACAATTCTCGAACGCCTCGTGCGGCCTTCGGAAGCTTCATCTAAGACCAAACTGCAAGGTTTACATTGCGGCGCCGCCTCATTCCGGCACACCCCCTCACGAGCTTCGTGCCCCCATAAGAAGCTCCAACTAAGGCCCAAATGCCAGGGTCCGCATGGCAGCGCCGCCTCATTCTCGTTGCGCCATAGGGAGATTCCAATAAAGAAGATGCAAGGGTCCGCAGGGCGGCGCCGCCTAATGACGGTACACCCCTCACATGGCCTCATAGGGAGCACCAGCTGAAGCCCAAACGACAGGGTCTGGATGGCGGCGCCGCCGCCTCATTTCGGCACACCCCTCACACGCTTCTTGGCCTCATAGGGAGTTCTAACTAAGGCCCAAATGCCAGTGTCCACATGATGGCGCCGCCATTTCGGCACACCCTCTCACGCACTGTGGCCCCATATGGAGCTCCAAGCGAGGCCCACATGCCAGGCTCCGCATGGCGGCGCCGCCTCACTTCCCTCGCACGCCTCCTGGTCACACCGGGAGCCCCAGCCAAGGCTCAAACGCCAGGGTCCCCGTGGCACTGCCGCCTCGTGCAGCCACGCCCCTCACACGCCTCGTGGCCCCCTAGGGAGCCCAGCGAACGACTCCGCAGCGGGGCCCGCACGGCGCAGCCGCCCCCCACTCGGCACGCCCCCCGCGCACCTCGTGGCCCCACTGGGGGGCTCTCCGCCGCTGGCCAAGGCCGCCGAGGTCCGCCTGGCGTGCCCGCCCCCAACGAGGTATTCCCTCCATGCGCTCCACGAGTTTGCGGGCAACAGTTATACGGTAGGTTTGCGTCGTGTCGACCAGCGGCGACCCCAGCGCGGGCGTTCAAGGTTGAACGCCGCCGGCGGCCCAGCATCGATCGATGTTGAACGATCGGACGTTGCGGCAGCGGCCGATCGTTCAAGGTTGAACGATCCCTGCGGTGTCAAAAACCAACGCTGGGGTCGGCACGACACGAACCTGCCGTATCCACATCCAGTGAGTCTTGGAGGTTTGGGCTACCTTCCCTAGAAGCTGAAGGCGCACTGGGTATGGATAAACATCTGGCCCCCAAAGGCTCGATTTTTTATCCGTCTCCAGTGCGACTCGGCCTTGCGGCACCCCTTCCCGAACATCCCAAGACGCTCCGGATATGGATAGAAGTATTGCCCGCAGAAGTGCGCGCCAGCCGCCAGTCCTTCATTTTGCTGGCCTCCATCCCTCTCCCGTACCTCGCGGCACTCGCAGCGTTCTCATCTTTGGACGCCCGAAACGGGTTCGGAAAGAATGGGCACAATGCCCAACAACAAATGTTGTCCCAAACCAACAGCGGCCGCTGTTGGGCCGGCGGCCTCCTGTCTCGAATGGACACAGGCCGCGGCGGCGCGGACAGCGAGTTCTGTTCAAAATGAACAGGAACTGCTGTTGGACATTGCACCCATTCTTTCCGTGCGCATCTCGTTCGTGCAGATCATACGGTTGGGCCATTCGCCAGGATAGCTTGTTTTCATCGCATCCTGCTGTTCGTCGCTGTTGGCCTCCCGGGGGCAGTTTTCGGGCCCTGGGGCCGTCAACACGAGACCCGGGACGACGCAATACCGACCGGGAAGCCCCCTGGACGATTCTTCGACGCGACCTGCAGAAGCTACATCACTGTCCCACATGTGGTGTACACTCTCCTCGTGGCACCACCCTGCGTAGCACAGTAGCCGCAAACGCCCATCGCGGTTAACACTCAAGGTCAGGGTTAAGTCGGGCCTGTCCCCCTACAGGGGGAATTGCGACGGAAAACAAAACATATTCGAAAAATATTCAAAAATTGTCGAAAATACTCCAAAAATAGTCCCAGGACTATTTTGTTTTAACTATTTTTGAATATTCCTCCTGTAGAGGGACAGGCTCGACTTACGGTCAGGGGGATCACTTGGCTCAGCGAGGGCAAACGCGGGGGCGTGCCCAGGGCCGCCAGGGGGAGGGTGTGCTTCGGTACCAGTGGTGTGGGCTGGGTCTCCTCTGGTCCTCCTCCTCCTCCTCCTCCTCCTCCTCCTCCTCCTCCCTCCTCCCCCTCCTCCCTCCTCCCCCTCCTCCTGCTTCTCCTCCTCCTCCTCCTCCTCCTCCTCCTCCCTCCTCCTCCCCCCCTCCTCCTCCCTCCTCCTCCCCCTCCTCCTCCTCCCCCTCCTCCTCCTCCTCCTCCTCCTGCTACTGCTCCCTCCCCATTGCCTCTCCAATCTTACCCCTCGCCTCTTCCGCCCTCCCTCGTACCCCTGCCCGCTCGAAGACACAGGTGGTGAGATGGGGAGCACCTGGATGGACAGGGAGGGCTGAAAGGAGAGAGGGAAGGAGGGAGGATGGAGGCACGTGCTTCCGACCTACCTCCCCGTTCCGCTGGCCCACTTCTTCCCCACACAATAGACACACGCGCTGTAGGAAATCCAAGGGCACGTTGGTCGACGATCTCTGAGCTGCCCAGGGTGCCCCAAGGCAACAAGAGCCTTCCGTGGGGGCACCTTCTGGCAGGCTGGTTTCTCACTTGATGCACCGAGGAGAAGGGGGAGGGTCGAACGGAGATAGGGGAGATCGTCGCCGAATCGGACGAGGCGCCTGACTGTTCTCGCACGAGAGAGGGGAGGTGTCACGAAGAAGGTGGGTGCTTCCGACCCGTCTCCCTGATCTACACCCTGCGAAATGCTTAAGAAATCATGGGTTAAGAAATTCATAGTCTCAGAACTTGAATAAAAACCCAACGTTTCTATCAAAATCTTGGGATTTACATTGAAAAATTAAGAATAATCGAGACTCTGGACGAAAACGTAGGTTTTGTTAAGCATCGCATAAGGTGTACTTCTGAGACTCCTGCCCGTGCATCCTCCCCTCGTCCCTTCCCCCAGCTACGGCCAGGAGCTGCTCGGCGTGTCGCGGCGGCGGCCCCCGCGACGCGCTACGGTCCTGCAAGCGGAGGGCGTGTCGCTCCGCTCCGCTCCGCGGAGGAGGAGGGAGGAGGAGGAGTAGGAGGAGGAGGAGGAGGAGGAGGAGGAGGAGGCGGAGGAGGAGGAGGAGGAGGAGGAGGAGGAGGAGGAGGAGGAGGCGGAGGAGGAGGAGGAGGAGGAGGAGGAGGAGGAGGGGCGGGAGGCTGGGAACGGCTCGGGCCCTAGACGCCTGGGAGGCTGGAAAGTGGTCGGCGCGCCACGCCGAGGCGTGGTGGGCCGGAGCTGGTGGCGCGACGCGCGGAGCCAGACTTCCCGATCGCAGCCTCGTCGCCCCCCCTCGTCCTCCACGCACGGGGGCCCATCTGGGCGCTCGGGCAGCCCCTGTTCGAGGCCTCGTCGACCCCTGTCTGGCCGGGACGGGCCCAGGCCCTGCCAGGCCACCGCAGCCGACGTGGCAGCAAAGAACTCGGAGGATGAAGGGAAGGAATGACAGGGGACGATCAAGGAAGGGGGCTTCCTTCACTCCCCACCATCCTCCTTCTTCTCCCTTCCTGAATCCCTCCTCCCGCTGTCCCTCTCCCTCTCTCTCCTCTCCCCTCACACCTCTCCCCATCCCTCCTCTCCCCTTCTCCCTCCTTCCTCCTGATACTCCTGCACCTCCTCCCCCTGACTGACATCGATCAGACACAACTCCCGCGTCGTTGACGCTCCCACCTTTGCCAGGCTCCGGCCTTCTTCCGTCCTAAAGGACAATATATGAACACAGAATCAAGGAGTGAGCCGCTGAACACAGCTTCCAGCAGGG